GTTCGTCAATGGTGCTGTCCATCGTCGTGGTGAAATCGTCCGAGAATATTTTGTAAGCAATTCTCTCGGCTTGTGTGCGTCCTTGGAAGAGGGTGACATTGTCAATGCCACAGATGACCATGTCGTCATGTACGGTGAAGAAAGGAGGAACAGCGGCCATGTTGCCTGCATCAATGTCAAACATCAAATTGTTAGTTCACATTCCTTTTATTTGAAACAGTTTTTGTTGGTGTTATTTTTGTTGGTGTTGTTCAGCACGATTCGTGGCAGTTTTCGTTTGTGTTTCTCAGCACCATTTGTGGCAGTTTTCGTTGGTGTTGCTCAGCACCATTCGTGGCAGTTTTCGTTGGTGTTGCTCAGCACCATCATTTGTGACAGTTTTCGTTGGTGTTGCTCAGCACCGTTCATCATAATGTTCATAACGTTTGATGTTATTTCGTATTTACGATCATGCTCATTATTACGTTCATAACGTTTGATGGCATTGCATTTCAATACATTTCAATACATTTCAATACATTTCAATACATTTCAATACATTTCAATACATTTCAATACATTTCAATACATTTCAATACAATACATTTCAATACAATACATTTCAATACAATACATTTCAATACATTTCAACAACACACGTGCAAGTTTGTTGACACGAGTTTTTTGCCTCATCTTTATCACAGAAACAGATTCTGGTCTAAGCAATAAGTTTAATTCTTTACTAATGTCTACTTTCTCACTGATAGTCTCGGGGACTTCTGCACCGTTTTTGTAGGCGTCTTTTACGTTTGACATATATGATAACCTAAGATCGTCTAGAACGTTTGAATCAACAATGTTGTTCAGGCTGTCGAAGCGACAGAAATCAATGTGGTGAGAGAAAGTTGGGACATAGTAAGATTCATTGTTCATGTAGAACGCATCATTCTTGTTGGATGAGTCGGTCTCCTTAGAGGTGGTCAAATCATCATCCGGCTTATCTCCAGGGAGATTGATGACAGCAAAGCTGTTGGACTTCTTGTTGCTCATTCGGGCCTTGTAGTTGTTGATTGCCTTGCACTCGGAGGTAGTGTGATTCTCGGTCGGCTTGGCTGTCTTTGCAAGTTCCGCCACGCGCTTGTGGTACTCGTCTTTGTCCATCTTGTTTTCCTCTGGGTCGGTACAAGATTTCTTGAAAGGTTTTGAATCGTCCCTGTGATGGACACCAGCCGTGCGTTTCTTCTTTTTGGATTCAATCTTCTGGTGGAGTTGATTCTTCAATTCCTTGTTGTGTGCTTGTCGAGCCTTGTGTTGCATGTAGGAAGTGATGCTGGCAACGGAATGGCTGTCAATGGTACCGTTGATCTCCAGGAAGGCGTCCTTCCAAGGCTTGGGGTGAGCATAGAAGAAAACTCTCTTGAATTCTTCTTTGTCAAGAGGGTCAAGAGCTTCAGACATGTAAGGGATTGCGGAGTTTACCTTCTTCATGTACATCTGATTGTCCATGATTGTCGCCGATCTTGGCTTTCTACAGGTACGGAGCTGATTTAAAACTGCAGCCGCGTCTTCTTCAGTAAATTTGGTCAGGATCCAGTCGCGGACTTTGTTTTTCCAGTTCTCAACGGATTCCTCGTCCATATCCATGTAGTTTGGGAGCGCTTCCCAAACTTGTCGTTCGAGAGGAGGGAGAGCCTTTGACCAAAACTTGTTGAGGGCTCTACTGAGGAGCTCGTCATCGTTCCGGCCGACTTCGAGAGTCACATCGTCAAGGAGAGTCTGTGCAAAGTCCACAAACTTGTGTAAGGACATCTGGGTGATGTCCAACTTCTTGAGGTAGACGGAAAAAGTTGGATGGTCGATATCCACTTTGACTCTGATGTTTTCTCCTTCGATGGGTTTGTATTGCATAGGGAAGACGTGATAGTCGGACATGATGTTGTGCTTGAAATTGAATTGGACTTTTTGATCAAAAATGCCGTGTCCCACAAAAGGCTGAGGACTAACTTAGGCACAGTAGCGATTGAAAGATTGCTAAAGAGATATTATGAGCTTAATGGAGAACTACTTCCCTGGGCAGAACGCGATAGCCATACTGACATCAGAAGAGAAGGTGTGTACTGGAGACACACAACTTCTACTGCAGTCTTGATAAGATGTATTCGTCAGACTGTTGCCACCTCATTGCCACATCACTGTCGGCTCGTAGCATAGGTAATAGATGTACTCGACATTTGGCAAGATTATTTTTGACAAGACTACTGTGGACATGCTGAGTAAGGGGGCGTCTGTAGAAGTACTCATATCAGAGTAATCGATGTTCATTCGACTGATATGATTCGACTAGTTGGACTAGTGGACTATTGTGAGCCACGACAGCCTTTCTGCATCGGGGTCCACGTGAAATACCTTCTTGCTTGCTGGGTTTGCCGCAGAGCGCCCTAAGTCTTCGCCAAAATCTTCCATGCATTCTTTGATGTGGTCCGGGACACTGAGTCGCATGGAACCATCATCGCAGAATTCCACTTCCATTCCTAAATAAGTGTGTTTCTTTCTGAAACTCTTCCGCATTGCTCCAAAACGATCTTCTAGTTTTTTAATTATGTCGTGCACCGCTTGTTCATTCTTCGACAAAATCTTTAAGTGGTCCACGTACCAGCAAATAGTGATTTTGGTTCCGCAGGAGAGCGTCTTGTTTGCCACACACAAATCGTACAGGTTCAGTTTGAATCCATCTTCAATGAGAAGCTCCGACAACATGAGCCACCATAACATGGCAGATTTAATGCACCCATACAGTGCAGGTTTCAAGCGTACGTATAGGAGTTTCTTGCCGGTTTTGGTCATGTGGAGATATTTCGCGTACATTGGACATGCCTTCACAAGCATGTCTGCTGGGTCCCCTTCGAAAACCATAAGTACAAACTCGTCCATGAATGCATGTAAGTACGCACCGTCAATGTCGCAAACGCTCACAAAACGTTTCTCATGTGCATCAATGCCAAGGGACAGTATCATTCATTCGCAGGAGACAGTTGGAGAATACACGGAGTCAGGGTCCGTCCATTCCCTCTGGGGGCGACCGTCTGCAACTACTCTACCCTTTAGTCAACCGTCACGTTTTTCTTTAATTAGGGCTATTGCTTGTAGGGCCTTCTCTCTCTGTTCTTGTGTCAGTTTGTTAAACATTTTTCCTTCAATGACGTCCTTTTCATGAAGATTGTGCAAAAGCTCTTTGACTAGCGCAGCAATTGCCAGCTCACCATGCTTCTTTATTCCTGATTTTGCAGTCATTTGATTTAGGAGCACGTTAAAAGTTTGGTTGCCTAACATTAGGTGCATATAACGATGCACGTCTGCGGTGTTTTGTAGTTTCTCTGGAATGTAACGCCACCAATTCTTCCTGTCGTCGCGATACGCATTAAACAAACTGACGGAACAATTTGATGTGTCATCGATTTGCACAACAATGACTGAGGAAAGAGATTGCTGTTAGAAAAACGTTATCGCTGTAGAAAAACCAGAGTCACACATTGTAGGCAAAGTCACACAGTGTAGGTACGTAAAAAGGTATGGATCTAGTTTATTCATGATAAATTTTCTTCCTGGACCATAGTTCTTTTGTTTGTACTCTTTCTCCAACCAGCTGATCACCTTTGCTTCCAGTGCCCAAAGAACTTTCATCCAGTGCCATAGGTTGTCGTCTTGGTCCCTTAGTGTGCTTATCCCAGTAGCTGAGGCAATGGATTGCAACTAGCAATTGCTTAAGCCCCTCCTTGCTCCTGTCAGATGGGCGGAGCCCCAAGTCTTTGTTTGTACAATTCAAAATGTCTTGCCAGAGAATGGATAGAGTGCTGGCGCGTTGGCCAAAATGAGCCTTGAAAACTCCAATATCATGCTCCTTGAAGTCGTCATCAGTAATCTTGGTAGGTGAATCCCCAATCATTTCAAATCCATAGATCAGCACCTGTTCTGGTGTCACTTTGATTCCAAGCATCATCCTGAAAGATTCTGAAACTCTCTTTGCGTTTTCACTTCAAAATCTCAAGCAAGCGTGACCAAATTTGAAAAAAACGGTTAAGTTGGCACCGTCTTCTGAGTTGAATTTTCTATCGCCTGAGTCAAAAATTCTGTGAATTTTCTATTGTCTGAGTCAAAAATTCTGTGAATTTTTCACAGATGTTCCGAAATCTCTGTGAATTCAGGTTTTTTTGGGGTTATTACAGATGTTCCACAATTGCTGTGAAAAGAATCTGCAAAGTGGCCCGTCTTCTTTCCCCCGGGCAGCTTTGCTTACTACTTTGCGTGTGTGCATGAAAACTGAGATGTACGGTGGGGTTTGGTGTTCGGGTGTCAACAATTAAGCTATTTATTTAGTATACATTTGCCTGTAGCTACGTGTCGCACCATGTCACAGTTGACGACATAAATTCATGTTCCTTTTTTGGCCGACTCAATTGACCGTTTATTCGACTCAGTCGACTTCTGTTTCTTCTGTTATGCCTTTACGGTACGTTACACACCATTTGCAGACCTTACCCTGTACATTTATAAAAGTGAAAGTCGATTTTTGAAGTTTCATGCAGAAGAGGGTGAAAATGACCACATCGACTCTCAAAAATAAAGAGAAAGCTGGCTTCACAGAAAACTGCGGGATATCCCTGGCTTCACAGTTTATTTGGTACAGTATTGGAAAATCTACGGCAAAACACGGACAGCGTTCCATTCACACAAAAGTCTTCACACAAAATCATCTTTGGTCGCAACTTTGTGACATTAGGTCGACGTTCAACATCATCAAGAACCAGTTCGACAACATTCTTTCACTGCAATACAAGGCACATTTTCAATCAAACTTTCGTTTTGGATTGTGGCTACTTGGACTTTTTGGATAGTAATGTGATATTCCAAGCAATGAAGCCTTCATCTTTGATGCAAGCGGGACAGCCTTCATCTTTAATGCGGAACTGCGATTGGGGCTGACGTTTCCACAAAACACACAGCAAAAACAGTTGGTGACCGTTTCAAAATGCATTTCTCCAGGGACTTCCACATTTCCCACATTTACTGTGCTCAGACAGTATGCAAACTCAATGGAGGGTCTCTTGAACTTTCGTCATTCCAAAAAGATGGAATATCACAATACATCAGTAATGTTTGCAAGTTGAGCCAAGTTCTCAGACATAAAGTATATCCATTGCTATTGATTGTTGCATTGTTTCTTGCTGTGCTGGTTTTACATCCTTTATCAAATTTGATCTCACAATGATGTATTCTTCTTTTGAGCTTTGTGACAAACAAGGACTTGTGCACAATCGTCGCACTACAACAAATATCAATGCGATTGAAATCAGTTCTTGGGGTTGCTTCCTACGACAAAGCCCTACATGGTTTGAAGGAAAAATGTGTACTTTTAAATTGACTATGTTGAAACTGTTTTGAATTTCTCTGACAAAACATGCAGTTGATCCTCACAAAACGGATTTCTTGAAACTGTCAGATGGACCTGCTCTACAGACCTGAATGGGAGCCTGAGATCGAATCTACGTCGGCTATGGTTTGCCTTTGGGCACCAGCGACTCTGGGCCTCAGCCTCTGGAATAAGCAGTAGTCTTATTCAATCAAAGGTCTTACTTTATATCCTATACTTGCTTGGACCTCAATGTCCACAATACTATTCTTGCCAGAACTCAATCAATAGTGAGACTCTCGATTGAAGTTCAGGATCATATTGCAAATTCTCACAATTCTCACTCTTGATCACCTTTCTACGTGGTGACTTGTTCGGACATACTGCGTTTCACACTACGCATGCTCGACACTCACGTCATTGCCGCGTGCCGCGTCACCTCACATAGACCATTAATCAATTATCGACCAATATGATTGCTCAGTATATCAATACCTCCAACACACTCCTGTCGTTTCACCAGCGACTCCAGTGGATGGAACGAAAAAACATTACTTCTCTTTAAGTGAAGTATCCAAGATCGATCATCAGGACTAATCCTGGTCACCTTGAATTACAGCTCAAAATTTTCGAAACTTTTCACCCTGTAAAGGCTTTATCATGTAATCTGCCCACATTTGATCAGTCGGCATATGTTCAATAATAATGTTGCCCAATTCAACTTGATCTGTCACAAAGAAATACCGGATGTTTAGCGCACGGCTCCTTTTTCCGGCGCTTGATCTCTCATTCGTTTCAAGGAGGATCGAACTTTTGTTATCCTGGTATAGTATATTCTTCTCGATTGGGTAACCTTGTTCTTCCATAAATAAGCGGGTCCATAAAATATTTGACATTGCATCATGGACTCCATTTAGTTCAGCATGTGTACTGCTGTCACAATTCAATTTCTGCTTTCGTGTAATTGCTTGCACTGCTCCAGTGCCCATTGTCATCACAGCCCCAGTATGACTTTTGAAGTCTGGATGAACAGCAAATGATGCATCAACATACCATTTAATCATGCGCAAATCATCAGCGCTCAATGTCAGATGCCATCCTTTTGTAGAATGAATGTATCTCATCAATCGAACTAGTTTATGCCAATCACTCAGATTCGGAGATTGCACCCTTGATGCTAAAATTGATACCGTCAGACTGATGTCCAGTTGAGCACGTTTGGACAAAAATAACGATTTGGCAACAAACGAATGGAACACTTCATGTCGCTCCTTCTCAAGCGGTGCCCCTTTACCTTTTTCCAGTAGATTATTTCCGGCTGGTGTCTCCTGGACCTCATTGTCCTTAAAGTTGACTGGAAACTCACTCAGCATGCGATCCACATAATCATCCATGCGAATTTTCATTTTTCCTTTCTTCAAAAAATCCAATGTCATACCCAGATAAGTATGAACTTTACCTCTAGTACACGTGACCTCTTTTAAGCCACCATATTTCTCATTCACCCATGTGAAAAAATCTTCAAGTACTTGTTGTTCCATGTGGCTCGCTAAAACGTCATCAACATGGAACCTTATTGTCAATTGTTTGCCATTAACCATTCTGTTGGCAATGCAGGGATCATATCGATTAAAAACAAAACCATACTCCTCTAGAGAAGCTCTCAGATTTTGGTACCACAGCAACGAGGCCTGCAACATCCCATGTATGGTACGAAGGATAACAACATAGATCACTCGCTTGCCATTCTCATAAACAACATAATCGCGATAGGTCGGGTCCAAATCGATCATATATTGGACCATCAGTCCAGTTACCTTCATGATCACCCGATCTTCTCCATCACCTAAATCTGGCATCAAGGTC